GAAGCAGTGAAAGGGGGTTACGGAGGGTGGGGGGGGGGTGGTTGACATTCTTACCGGCTTTTAAATGGGAATGAACGCAGCCAGGAGTCCTGAAAGGTTACGAAATCTGCACACTTGTCGCGCACACGGGGTTGTAAAAAGTTTGCCACGTTCAGTACCAAGCTCAGGTCACATTGCCTCGACTCGATGTGGCAATCATTATTCTTGAAAGAGAGAGAGAAAAAAAAAAGGTCCACGTGGGAGTGTTTTATTCAGCTTGCCAATTGTCAGAGCAAAATGCTCGAACCTGTTTTATTGTGTTCGTCTGAGTAAATTGTCAAGGGAATGGAATGTCACATACTTTTTTTTTGTCGATATAAGGGCAATTCATATATTTTAAGATCAGAGTTTGGGAAACCTCATACTGTGTAGTGTGTTGTTTTTTTTTATGACAGTGTAGATGAGATTTATCATCGTATGTGACAGATTTAACACTTGCTCGGGCTATACCGCCTGTGTGTGTGTAGAGGGAGGGGGAGAGAGAGAGAGAGAGAGAGAGAGAGAGAGAGAGAGAGAGAGAGAGAGAGAGGGAGAGAGAGAGAGAGAGAGAGAGAAAGAGAAACTGATGTAAGATTTTTTTTTGTTTGTTCCCTAAGGGGTTCAGCCGGCAAATATAAATCTATATTTTTGCGCAATAAGGCCTTGCACATCTCACTTTTGCCCCGTTTCTTTTTTTTTTCTTTCCGCAGAGTGCCCAATTACCGAGGGAAACGCAGAGAGGTCCACATGACGGTAAGTGACCTTTAGGACACGTTGGCATCATCAACACGTGTGTGTGTGTGTGTGTGTGTGTGTGTGTGTGTGTGTGTGTGTGTGTGTGTGTGTGTGGACATGTGTGGAGTGTGAGTGTGTAGGGCTAATGTTTGGGAGTTTGTGGGACCATGGATATATGAGAGAGAGAGAGAGAGAGAGAGAGAGAGAGAGAGAGAGAGACTTTGTGAAAGTGTGCGACAGTGCAACTAAGTGAGAGTGAATGAGTGAGTGGATGAGAAAGTGAGTTTGTTGGCGTGAGATTGCAAGTGTGTGAGAGCCACAGTGAGCGAGGGAGCGTGGGACTTAGTGTGTGAGAGAGCGAATGTGAGTGTGTTTGCGGTTGAACAAGTGAACAAGCAGATGAGTAAGTGAGCTAATTTGTGTGTGAGGGTGAAAGTGAGGATGTGTTTGCTAATGTATGAGTGAGTTGAGGGAGTTTGTGTGCAAGTGCGAGCCTGGGCGAGGGATTAATTGAGTGCTTGGGTGAGTGAATGAATGAGTTTGTGTCAGAGTGCAATCGTGTGAGAGTCGCCCCATGTGACTATGTGCGCGTTTGAATGAGTGAGTGAGTTTTGTGGGCGGGTGAGGGTGTGTGAGAGTGAGTGAATGAGAGTGTGTGTGCAAGTGTGATGCATGCGAGGGATTAAATGGTGAGTTTTTTTTGAGTGTGTGTGTGAGAGAGCGAGCGCGAGAGACAAGAGTGTGTGAAGGTGAGAGAGAGTGAGAGAGAGAGAGAGAGAGAGAGAGAGAGAGAGGCCAGCTGATGTGAAAGCGCTATATAAATAAAGATGTATTTAGGCTCATTTATGTGAAGGTTCCACAGTGCAGGCACCTGCTCGCCCCCTAGTGGCCACTTTTCCCGCTCTCCTCCAGGGCCTTTCAAATGGAGACACTTGGAACTTTTGTCCACATTTTTTTCATGTCTGAGGTTAGGCTGAGGGAAATGTTACCATCACCAGACTCACTTTTATAGAAAGGAATGGACTGTCACCCCCCACGCCAACTTTTTACCCCCCTCCAGAATCCCAGCATTACCCAATCCGATTTGGGAAGAGATGGAGTTCGGGGGAGAAAAAAGGAAACTTGTAGTTGTTCTTCATGCGCCGGTGTCGGTGTTTGTATTGGCGGCCCGAGGCTTCTTTTCCGCTCACTTGTTCTCAGATTGATAGCTTGCAAGCGGCGAGTCCAGTATGCGTCTCGAGGGATGAGTTGAGCCCTTTGCCAGCTGTCGATAGATTTACACGTGGCCTTAAATTGACGTGTTAATCAATTCATTAATTAGTTTGCGAGACCTTTACAAAAATCGTAGCATATGCTTCTAACTTTCTGAATCGGCTAGTGCAATGACTGTCTATCTGATTAGAAACATTTTTAAAACCACAAATGAGGCGAGACTGTGCAACAATTTCTTTCGTTATACTTTTGGCGAACAACACCTGGATATCAAGCAAATCAAATAAATGCGAGCCACAGCAAAGCCATTATGATTTTTTATTTTTTTGGTCTAGTGTGATGACTTCTCTGCACTTAAAACAAGTCTGCCAAACATGAAATTCTCGGAAATTCAAACACACGCCCACAAAGATACGGGAATTCCGTATTTTCCCGCCGTTTTCACTTTCTGAAGGCGTACCAGCTACGTGTCCCAATAATTTTTTTTTCCATATGTAAATATTAAGATGTAAAAGCTTGAAAGAGGCATTTCAATTCCTGACCTTGACCTAAGAATACTAAATGTTATGCCAAGTGATAATGGACAAAAATGCAGGGCCAATGATGTAAAAAAAACAAAAGACTCTTCATTTATATTGCAGTCATAAACAGTCATAAATGCCGTGTGGCCTGTGATGAAAACAAGTTTGAAGGCCCTGATAAATGCTGAATGCTATTTGTTGTCGTCGCTGCTGATGTGTGAGGTAACATACGGCCCGCTGTTTCCCAACCTCTTTCGGGCGATTGGCAAAATCTCACAGCGTAGCACCAAACAAAAATGTCACAAAAACGTGGACACATATACGGAACAATCGTCAAAAAAGCGATCGCGATTCTACAGGTGGATGCGTCATTTGATTTTGGAATGTTGGTGTATCCAAAGAAACGACAATGAGGCACTCTAAAGCTGCCACGCACGTGTGAAGTCGCACACCGGCTGTCAAGTCCCCAACTCCTCACTCTTCCCCACTTTCTCTGTGTGATGCTCACACACGGCATACATACAACGAGGCGCTCCAAAGCAGCAGAGCACTATCGGAAGGGGGCGTCGGCATAGCTAGCTCGCTAACTGCACGTTGCAGTTTTTCTTCATTCGATTTTCACAATTTTTGCCCGTCTTGGACATCGGTTGAAGTGGCCTTTGCAGCCAGACTTTTTTTTTTTTAAAGGCTTTCACGTTACTATCTACAGGGTCTGGGAAAAACGTGAGCGTTTTTCACATGCAGATTCTTTGCGTGCGTCTTCCTCCGCAGTGATCCCGTTGATGGAGGTGTACAACAAGAGCTTGTGTCAGCCTCGGGAGCTGCTAGTGGAGATCCTGCAGGAGTACCCCGAGGAGGTGGAGCACATCTTCATCCCGTCGTGCGTGGTGTTGACGCGCTGCGCCGGCTGCTGCAACGACGAGACGCTGCAGTGCATGCCCACGTCCAGCTATAACGTGACCATGGAGGTCTGGCAACTTCACTGACTGATTATCCTTTGGGGAGCCATTTTGTTTTGGGGGAAGGAAGGGGGGTGGGGGTGGGGGTGTTGTACGCTGTGGCTTTTTGCAAATCGCTTTGTTTGAATCGGGGCCGTTTATTTCTGGCACCGGGAGGCGTTTCGGTTGTGGTTTTTTTCAACAAGGCAATTATCGTCGCTCCAATTTGTCAACAATAGTCCATAAAGTATCTCCAGCGCGTTTCTGGATCTGTTTCAGATCCTTTTGGATGAAACAACAAGCAGAGCGCAAGCACATTCTGTGATTGTTTGACTAACTTTTGCAATTTTCCCGAGTTACTAAATCCCTTCTGTGTCTTCTGTTTTTTTTCCCCACAGATCAAAAGAATAAAAACCCAAAGGCAACAAAATGATATCTTCATGAGTTTTACAGAGCACAGCGCATGCGAGTGTAGGTAAGAACCCTTCCACGCACACAGCGACATGGCTAAGAAAATGTGAATGTGTTTTTAAAAAAAAAAAAAAAAAAAGAAAGAAAGAAAAACAACCAAAAGAAATGTCAAAGCCCCCTTCATCGGCTTCTGACACTTTTGACAGGTCTGCGAGATTCATATCTCGGTATCGTCTGCTTCCTTCTCTTGGCTCGCGATAAAAAAGCCCGCTGCAGGTTGAAGCGTATCCCAGTAGACGTTCTCCATACATGTGCGCCGGCTTATCCTCATTCCATCGCACGGAGACACATTAGTGCAGCTGCTACCCAAATTCTCCGACCCCCCCCCCCCCTTACTGGCTCTTCACTGTTAAATGTGGTTTGACTGGCTCATTATCTTCTAAGGCGATGAAACGAGCCATTCGGAAGTAATGTCTCGTTTCCAACTATTAAGTCTTTTACCAGAGTTTTCAGGCAGCTGGGAGATGCTTTTTTTTTTTTTTTTTTTTACCTCCTCGAGGGAGGGATGTCCTCGAAGTCCACGATTCCCGGCCAGTGCGCCGTAAGAGATCAACAGCTGCGCCGTGGACAAATTATCCAATTTAATTCAAAGGGTTCAGAAACGATTTATTTACGACAAACGTAGATATATCTCTATCTATGCCAGCGACGTATAATGACATGCAAAACAATACAATGCTCGTCCACTAGATGGCAGAATGTACATAATTAACCGGTGTTACTTTTTGCGACTTTCGGCGGCGTTTTCGGTTGGCGGTGAGATGAATTCGCATATAAAAAAAAAATATGCGCCTCGGCTCAGTAAAGGCTGCTTTCCACCACAATTTCAAAAGTATCAGGACAGGTCGCAAACAAAAGCTGATGAATATTCAATTACTATAATTGAGGAACGCAGGACAAACATCGAACCTCAAGAACATTTACATTTGGAGTGTGGTGACTTGGGTGAAAAAAATGAGTTCTTGCATTTCATGTTGGTTTGCTGTTCAGCAGTTTTGTGCCATCCCTGAATTTTTTTTTTTTAATGCAGCAGAGACCTTTGCACTAGAAAAAAAATGTAGACAGTCATTTGGAAAAAAAATGCTAGGACAGCAGCTTTTTTAGTGCATGCATTGAGAAATGTATTATGACAAATCACATTCTTAAAAGCACATATTTTGTCTCTATTTAAAGTGGATTTTTTTTTGTCATACTTCTGGACCGGAACTATGTGGTGCTATTGACCCTGCTCGTAGCACTGCTGAAAAATGGTGGTCCTTTTTTTTTTTTTTTTGCATTTAAGTTGCCTATCCATGATCTAAACGGATGGATGACACTAAATTGCGAAACATTTCCTGCCTACGGCATCTAATGTGGGTGAAAAGTTTCATGATCATGCAGACGTGACATTGGCAAGTCTACGTGTGAGCGTCTGGGCGTGAGCTGTGGCTGACAGCAGCTTCGACGTGAGCGTGCTCACTTTGTTGTTATTGTTCTCCCGGCATTTGATAACTGTTCTCCGTAAACACGAAAAAATATATTTAAAAAAAAAAATAAAAAACACACCTGTGACATAGCAAATGCGCTAATAATGAATGATAGTATAGCGGTGGAAAGACCAATGCCCACTGGCCAAAGATCAATACATGGCACTTGAAACGTGCACTGATTTTCTCTCTTAGTGGGTTGAGACAGTCAAGAACACCTGCTGATGAAATGTTATTTCTGACCACCCCCCCCCGACAAAAAAAGTTTCAAAACGCCTGCGCAGCGCGTGACCCCGCAGAATGAAATAGGGCGCCTTTCCTCATACTTTTGCCCAACAAGAGATTGCACCACAAAGCATTATCAGCGGGAGGCGTTGAGACCTGCTATTGTGTGGGTATGCACCCGTGAAACAACACTCAACCACCCCAAGTGCCCCTTGCCGCCTGTGACCGCGCAACAAGAGGTCATTTCAAAGTGAAAGCTCGTTGGGCAGCATTTTTGGACGACAATGTATCTATCTGATGTATCTAACATCACTTTTTTTTTTTTTTACTGTGCCTTGCTTTCAGGTTAAAGAAAGAAGTGAAAGAGCTGCGAGAAAAGTGAGTACAGAGCGTCTTCTGAACCTTTAATGCTTGAGTTGAACAATAGCCAGCAGAGATTCGATGTCGTTCGCGCAAACAAAAGGGGCCTCTCTCTCAAGGATGGCCATTTTGACTCATTTGCCTCCAGCCGACCACGGCGCTCGTTTTCCAAAGTGGAACACGAGCTGTAATTCCGTGAATGCTGGTTGTCGTCCAAGGTTGTCAAACCTTTCGTAGCTGCGCAGGTGGGGTATTAAGAAACGTTATACCGTTCCGAGCTTGTCACAAATATGTAAGGATGGTTACTGAACTCATTCACTGCCAGACCACTAAAATTCAAGACCACCAAACTTACCAAAAAGAAAGCAAATTCTCTAATTTCACCAGAAAAGTTTAACTTTTTTCATTCTTTAGCCATCAGCAGTAGAACAGGGCACCAAAAGCATCAGTTTCTGACCAAAAAGCAGAGTTATTTTAAAAAAAAAAGATATTCAGCAGAACACTGACTGCCACCAAAATTTTTTGACACATCCAACTACTTTCAAAAACATAAAATGGCCCTTGAGCACAAAAGTTCTTCAATAATCACAGGCGGAAAATTTTGATTCCGTCTTTGCTGCGCGGGAAAAATGTCCAAATTGTTCCACTTTCTGGAGGTTCCACTGTAATTCGGAAAAATACACCGCTCACAAAAATTTGGGGATTTTGGCATTTCGGGTGAACCTTACATGTACTGCAGTGAACTTGAAGCCTTTAAATACACAAGGCCAACTATTCATCATTTCAGTATAACTTGCAGTTTAAGTAAGTTCAGCTGTAAGGGTTCTAGGGATTTTTAGGTTCATCCTGAAACATCGATATAACTTTTCGTAAGCGGTGTCATTCTTAATTTTATTTTCAAATGGATGGGAGAAGCTCTGTAAATGTTCTGAACTCCTGTTTCGATGCCATCGGGATACTGAACAGACATTTTGCAGACATCTGTGTGGCCTTTTCATCCTTCTTGCAACTCAGCAGCGCCTCTGCAGGTTGTACCCAAGTACTGCATCCCCTTTTGCTTCAGCAACTTCAAGACACGATTAATCGAGTCCATTCCCCCGCCCCACGTTTTTATGACTAACAAAATGCCCACATCACTGAGCCGCGCAGGTGGCCTCACGCCGTCTTTCAAGCGCGCCGGTAAATAAGTGACTCTTAACGAGTTTGTTGCCCTCGCCACGCCTGACCTTTACGCCTTTCTTCCCCTCGCCCTATCTCCGATTGACATTCTTCCACTCCTATGCATCCACTTCACTCCCTGCTACTCCGCTCGCTCTCATATCGACAGCGGCGTCGTTTTGAAGAGCCGCCTCGGTTTATGGCGTTTGTTCAAGTTGCGTCCGCCGGCACCAGAAGCCGCTAAAATCCGTTAAAACAACTTCCCAAGTGAGTGCTTGTTAATATGTTGAGGCTTTCGACAGGGCCGTGGGGTGTCGTGGGGGGGGTCTCCTCTTTAACCTTCTCTTGATTGTTTATGAGCTGTCCCACAGTGGCTTGCGGTCGACAATAACGACACTCTCGCGGTCATTCAACTCGGGTGCCTTTCGTTTTGTTTTTTTGTACGTTTGCCAGTACTGTGACCGAAGTCATCAATGTGAGAGGTCGGGAAGAAGCAGCCTCCCAAATACACCGGATTTCGCAATTATTCAAAACAACAGCGTTGTGAAGTCATGACAACTGTTTTTTTTTTTTTTTTTTTTAGACAAGGAAGAAACATTTTCATGTAAACACACCGCAAAGGACAGATTTAGTACCCGAATGATAAATCTATTGCAGTCTGTTTTACAGTTTAATCTGCTGGACCGTTTAGGCAGGCTTCCAAGAATGTGAACATACTGTATGAGGAAATGCGCTAATGGATATTTATCATCTTATAATGATGGTGGCAAGTAAAGAAAAAAAAATAAATAAAGATGCGTTTTATAAAAACATCGCATTGATATTTCACACTGAAATCATTGCAGGCGAAAATCCATGATGGTAAAACATATTTAAAAAAATGTTTGTCTTTTTTTTTTACATAGTTTTAGCCCACCGCACTCTTTAAACAACTTATTAAATTTACTAAACGCATTTCGAACACTTTAGCTCACACTTCTCTAAATAAGAGGCACAGCGTGCTTGCTTCAAAATGTTTTTTTTTTTTTTTTGCCACTCTCAGTTCAACTGAACTTGATTGTAAATCAAACACACAAAATCAAAACATATGAAACAACACCAAAACCTAAGTTGTCTTACTTCATTTTTAACGTGCAGTAACTCACTTTTTTACAACAGGGTTGATCTTCCAGTAACCCCCCTGCCCCCCTCGCCCACCTCGACACATAACACCAATTCACAAAATGCATGTGGGTTTTATATTTGTCCACTTTGGTTCACCATCCCTCATGCTTTATACATGCTGCTGTGTCTGCGACTTTGAATGTGTCGCTTTAAAAGTTGTCGGTTGAGTGATGTCAAAGAGTCGGTGAATGACATTGCGCAGTTAGCTGTGTTGGCTCTGGATAGCAAGTGGCTAACCCTTAGCCGGTACGTGTGTTGAATTACTCGGCGCAATAGATATGGAGCTGCTATTATGTTTTTATCACCTGGTAACCGTGGTAGCGAAGTGACCCAGAATGTATTTTACGTCAAAATCACCACAGTTCACTACTTTAGCCATCACCTTTGGGCTAGCAAAAATCCAAAATGCTGTCATCGCTGTCCTCAGGACGTGTACTCACTCACATTACAAATAGCGACGGCCCGATACGCAAATGAGACAAGTTTGTCGCTTTTTTGGGGGGTCTTTTGTCGTGATTTGTGGGTTATTCACAGACACAGAAATATGAAAATAATGGTTATCGGCCATGCGATAAATTCCAAGTGAGCCTTATAGAACTTTCATTAAAGGGTCTTTGCACGCTTGAAAGTGAATTGCCCACTAAGCAAAACGTGCACATGTAAAGCCCCAGGTGCATCCTTTGTAAGCCTCTAATCCTTTATGAGCTTGTTCCCATTGTGTTGCGCTTTGAATCAATAACAAAGTTAAGACTTGGCTTGACTGATGTGGTCCAGACGAAGTTTATTATCTTTCATTTATGTGGGGAGTTTTATGTATTTAATTCTTTTTTTTAAATAAAAGAACACAATAAATTGCTTCTTCACACGGAATATTTGAAGTCCACAACGTTCCGCTATTTATGTGGGAAGCGCAGACAGGAGGCTGCATTGTTCCGCATGTGTTTCTGAATCTTTACCAGTCACATCGTCCTTGCCCCTGATTCTCAAATTCCCATAAAACGAAAATCACATTCTCACATAGGTTTAACATGGGAAAAGTCTCCCACACGTTCTCGGCGCATTTTTGAAACATTCCTTTGGGCGGGGAAGAACAGGTCGCCAACCAGAGGGAAGCGCGTCGACACGCTTGACTGTGCTCGGTGAACTGAACACCTGACAGCGGCGTCGCAGACGCTCAATATCCCGCAATCGAGTTCAATGGCAAGCTATAAATAAATACTGCCGCTTTGACTCAATTTGTAAAAAAGAAAAAAAAAGTAAAGCAGCTGTCCACTCCTTCCCTCGCTTCACGCTCTTTCTTTCTCTCTCTGCGTTGTTGTGCTCTCTTCCAGACAATCCCGGCGAGGCCCAGCTAAAGGCCAAAAAAGAAAGCGAAAGAAAAACCCAGACATAACAATTGGCGATGCGTATGTCAGCTCCGCCTTCTCCATCTACCTGCACCTGAGTGTCGTGCTTCTCGTAATTAAGATGGCTTGGGAGGAGATCCTTTGCCCTTTTTAACGCCGTACCTCCGCTACCCGTTCGCTAGCATGTTGCTAACCCGCCGTGCTACCCGCCCCGTTTTGCTAATGCTGCCGTACGCTGCTAACCGCTAAATGAATCCATCTCACCCGTCAAGACTAATCAATCGTCCGTCGATGTTAGCTAGCTTGCCGTAACGCTAATATGAAAAGTCGTCGTCTGGATATCCATCTGAAAGTCCATGTCGTGTGTTCATTGTCCTCACTAGTAAGATGATTCGGCGCAATAACAGAACAGCTCGAGCGCCTTTGTAGAATGACTTTTTGACCAGTAACTTTTGTTTTCTGACAAGTATGTCAAATTTTTCTGACTAGGGTGTACAAAGAGCGTGCTAATACGACCTTAAAAAAATTGCTTAAAACACAGGCGTGTACCGGCGCAAGCTAGTAATTCTACCTGCGCGTTGAATTTTCTTGCTAGTGAGGACAAAGATTGTCCTGGTAGATATCAAGGACATCAAATAAAACGGATTTCTGTGCGCCAAGCCCAACTGTTGCGATGTGTCATTCAAGAAAAGTAAAAGCACAGGTACATTACATTTTCCTTGTAACGTCTCCACTTTAGATGGGTGATAGCGGACAAGCAGGAATGATCGCATCCACTGTTAGCCGTTGTTGATGCTGTGCCGCTATCAGCGGGATCGTAATCGCCGTGTTTAGTCTGAGTCGCTCTGCTGTGTCTCGACTCTGTCTCCTTTGCCCTCTTTGTGCTTTTCATCTTTTTTTGTGTGTCATCGCGCACAATGCTGGTACTTTTTTAATGTTATGTTCAGATATGAGTGATGGCTATCTGTTGATTTCCTTGTCGTCTCCTATGGGTAATTTGTAAACCAGACCGATTGTGTACCAAGTACTGTTTTTGTGTGTATGTGTGTGTGTGTCGCCGTCCAAGCTCTTGTCTCGCAACAATTTTGCCTTCCATTTTGTGTCTCAAGTGCAATTGTTGGTTTGTCATCCATGTACGGCGCAATGGAGTAGTCCTTCCCATTTTTTTTTGACAATAAACTGAAACGAAGACGCACAAAGCGGATTCTTGAGTCTTCTTTGACGATAGTCTGCAGATAATAGTCACGTTTCCACCTCAGTTGGGTTCACCGTCACAGTTTGGCTCCTGATCAAAGCTTGCATGACAACGCGAGCGATGTATCATAGCCTCGAAAAAGATAGACACAACACCAACGTGTAATAAGTCGAATCGAGGCAAGTGAACTATTCTCGGTAGGGCGAACACGTTTCACAGAGTTTAACTCTCTGATGCTTCTGATGCTAAGCCGTAGCATTGAAGTCGCCTTTGACGCGAGTTGGAAAGCGCCACTTGCTCCTGATAAATTTCCAGTGACAAAACCAGGTGGCGAGTCTAGCCGGGGCTTCAAGGGTGCCGACTTGATAAGGTACGGCTGACATCAACCGTACGGTGCTATTTTTCTTCACTAAAAAAACAAAACATATTTTTGGGCAGAACGGATTACTGCAATTTCAACTCATTACAGTGGGGAAAGTTGATTTGACTCGCAAGTCAAGGTGCCACCAAAAAAAAAAATTGTCTCGTACTCCTTGGTGAAAATGTGTCTGATATCTTTTCTTATTGAGGGCATGCCTAACAAACGGGAAGGCATGCGAGAGTGGTCCAATGGGAGAGGAACAGTTCGGGGGGCGTGACGGTTCACTTTACGGCGTGCGTTTTTGCCCTGTGTGCAATACTACCCAGACCGTCACATGCTATGCAAACACTTGGAAGATGAAACTATGAACGTATGACCTGGGGAAGGGTGACCGTTTGCTCAACACTCTTGACGATCATCATCTCTTTCTTTCCTTCTGTTCTTCCTGTCTGTCTGTCTTCATCCAGTGTTTGCAAGCCGTGCTCAGAAAGAAGGAAGCATTTATTCTTGCAGGATCCGCAAACCTGCCGCTGCTCCTGCAAACACACCGACGAGTTTTGCAAAGACCGCCAACTAGAGCTCAACGAGAGGACCTGCAAGTGAGAGCCGCTTCAAGCCACGCTTAACGAAAAAAAAAAAAATCTTGTCTGTCGGATTTCATTTTTGTTTCTGCACTATATATTCATGTGACAAATTGACAAATAATTCCACGTCCTGATATTTCTTCCTCACTGAGGCTCCTGCAATGACTTTTTCAGGCCTCTTATTGGCTAATATGGCCCAAATGTTGCACATGAGATGTTTAATTTGAATTTGTTGCCTTTTTTCAACTTAAAAAAACAAACAAAAAAAAAACATACTCCTCAAACTTTAAACTGTATTTAATGGGATTTTTTAAAAATAAATTTTGGTTAAATATAACCATTTTTTGGGGGGGTCGGGTGTAAATGTTTCATTTTCAGTCCGACAAAGAATACACCCCACTATGAACGTATGACCTGGGGAAGGGTGACCGTTTTCTTGGTGTGGTAATTCAACACTCTTGACGATCCTCATCTCTCGGAAGGCATGCGAGAGTGGTCCAATGGGAGAGGAACAGTTCGGGGGGCGTGACGGTTCACTTTACGGCGTGCGTTTTTGCCCTGTGTGCAATACTACCCAGACCGTCACATGCTATGCAAACACTTGGAAGATGAAACTATGAACGTATGACCTGGGGAAGGGTGACCGTTTGCTCAACACTCTTGACGATCATCATCTCTTTCTTTCCTTCTGTTCTTCCTGTCTGTCTGTCTTCATCCAGTGTTTGCAAGCCGTGCTCAGAAAGAAGGAAGCATTTATTCTTGCAGGATCCGCAAACCTGCCGCTGCTCCTGCAAACACACCAACGAGTTTTGCAAAGACCGCCAACTAGAGCTCAACGAGAGGACCTGCAAGTGAGAGCCGCTTCAAGCCACGCTTAACGAAAAAAAAAAAAATCTTGTCTGTCGGATTTCATTTTTGTTTCTGCACTATATATTCATGTGACAAATTGACAAATAATTCCACGTCCTGATATTTCTTCCTCACTGAGGCTCCTGCAATGACTTTTTCAGGCCTCTTATTGGCTAATATGGCCCAAATGTTGCACATGAGATGTTTAATTTGAATTTGTTGCCTTTTTTCAACTTAAAAAAACAAACAAAAAAAAAA